TTCGCTTTCTGGGTTCATTGTACAGTTTTGAATATAATGTGAAATATCCCAAAAAAATGTCACTTGGTCAAGGGTCATTAGTTTACTAAATCATCAAAAAGGGGTCCCCTAAGGAAAAAGGTTTGAAACCACTGCACTAAATCCTACACACTGGGCTTTTAAATACAGTACTTGAGTATATATACTTACCAGTTTTAAGAGTTTAGGATAACAGGGCCTCATGTGTCGCTGAATCACACTATACAAGAATACCGATTCTTGTATAATATGCTGTTTAAGTCAATATCAGAAAGATCTGAACAATTAGTGGAAGAATGTCTTCATGTACAGCAGCATAAAATGTGGTTGGAGGGATTCTCAGGCTAACACATCGAAGGCACATCTCACATGTACGCTGAGTAAGATTGACAGGTTTCTTCTCTGAGCTGAAGTGAACCTCTCGCCCTGAGTGTGTGTGTAATGAGAGACAGGTCTTATGACAAGCACTAATCATCCCAGACTCTTGACCCTGTGGCAGTGAGGCTGACACAAGGGAATACATACCGACACTGCTAACAACTCACCCAACCTCTGTGTGTGCGTGTGTGTGTGTGTGTGTGTGTGTGTGTGTGTGTCGATGAGCACGTGTCATTTCAGGTAAAAGAGTCATAGTAGGAATGAGTTCACATTCAGTTCATCAAGCCCCGGGGTGAGTTTTCTTCAAAAGGTGAAAATATTATATTAGGAAATGGGTATTAAATCAGGAAAATTTGATCCACAAAGAAAATTTGATTTATTTCTAAATATTTAAAAAAAGCTAGATTCCAAAGTTTAACCTTTCAAAATCAAATCAAATCAATTTCTGCTAATTAAAGTAACCTTCTTTTTCTTATGAAATATGCTTATTTGCTTTTTCTTGCTAGGAGTTGGATGAGAAGATTGATAAAACTGTCACCTACATTCTACATATATGAAGCTGCATCCAGCAGCTGGTTAGCTCAGCTTGGAATAAAGACTGGAAACAGGGAAATGGCTAGCCTGGGTCTGTCTCTATTTCTCTGCCACGATGGCTCATCAACTGTCCCAGCCAAGAAATAGTCCAGCACACGTAATACACGTAATAAAATAATTGTAATTTTTACATTTTTACACATACTTTGTTTTTTGTATGCATTAAACAAAAACTAATGTTGCAAGTCTTTGCTAAGCTGAGCTAGCTGGTGGCTTGCTCCAGCTACATATTTAACATACAGATATGAAAGTGATAATCTCTAACTCTCAGAAAAAAGCTAACTTCCCAAAACTATTCTAAACTAAAACTAAAACTATTTAGCATTCTGCCAAAAAGACACCTCTTAGTGATCACAAAGATGTAACAATAGGGGAGTCGGAGAGTCCATCATGCTGAAAACTGCTCATTAAAATCTTTCATATATCTGGATGTACCCTGCTGCCCCAAGCTCCTTAATTGAAAATGTAACTGAATATGGGATTTACACTTTGTCAGGAAAATTGAAGTAACACACTACTGAGTAGCTACACTAACAGAAGAAAGGCAGAAAAACTGCATTTGTCACTTTACTTGAACTTATTTTTAAATAATTATTATTAAGATTGGAAGCTGCTAATACCATAACTGCACCATAAAAGAGCTTGGGAGTATCAATGAGTGCTTGGGATTTATTATGCTGTGTGCTGTGTGTGTGTGTGCTTCCTCATATTACTGTCACGGTGACACTCAGCAGGAGTGACAGCGGCTTTCTAGGAGTATCATTCCTGCTGATAAGAGGGACTGTAGCCTCAGAACAAATACGACACACTCCCAGCTACTTACCCATAGTCAGTGAATCTACAAAAGAAGCATCACTACATTGTGGATGTACTGATCCAGGTATGTTTATTGTTATCCAGAGTGCACTGACAGACCAGTACAGACATACAGCACAGACAAGAGTGAGCATTCAATAGAAAACGGAAAAAAATCTGATCTCACTGTGGTGTTTGTTTGATAAAAAGGGTTAATAGGTGGAATATGAACCTGGTAATTTACAGTATCTGTCAGTTAACATGTATTAATCGCAGTGCAGTGGAGTACAAGAGTGATTCTCTGTATATTGTTAAAGAAATGTGTTAAGATGCGTTCGATATATGCTTCAATAATTCTCAAAAGTATCATCTGATTATACAAGAAGTGATGTAATGTACCGATGGAAATGTTTACCACATAATTCTGCAATTATTGATATAAAATAAGCATCATGAACGGTGTGGCAAGTTAGCAGAACAAACACAATCAAATAAAAAGGATTTGATTGACGAGGCAGTAAGTGATTGACAAGTTGGACATAATCAAGGCTTCCGGACCTGGGTGTACTGTTCACTCAACACAACAACCTTTAAAAAGATATATTTACAAGACACACATTATTTATTGTTTGATAGAGTTTTCATTGTATTAAATATATTACATAAATCATATTCCTACATGCAGACAATGCAGTGTTGTACAGTGCAGTGTTTCCTCTGATATTCATAAAAACAACTAGAATCTGTAAAAGGGCTGGTTTCAAATGTGTGGTTCAAGCCTCATCATTCTTTATTCTCTTTTTCTACAGTGAATGAAATACACTCTTTCCACACAAGGAGAAGGCTTATGCTGTGTGTTAAACCGGCCCTTTTTCCAGCTATAATCTATTCAAATCTTAATATAGCTAAATTCTTCACTTAACAACAAAACCTCTAGCTCAAAATATTTTGTTCATTCACCTTGCATAGTGTCCATCTCTTTTACTGTACGTGGGCTGGTTGGCAGCAAAAAGGGGTTGGCAAAACAAAGGTTTGACAATGTTGTAGGAAATGAGATAACATATCTGTTTCTAGATCAGAGCAACACAACCCCCGCATCAAATAAAAAGCTCAACCTGTCTCACTCACAGCTAATCTCAGTGGGCTCCGTGAGGAATGATATAAGTGTTATAGGTGGCAACAAACAGAGTGTATTGCACAAGGGTCTTTAGAAAAGGTGACTTAAGTCTGTGTCAGTTTCAACAGGAAGCATGCAGTACTTAATGAATGCAGTGAAAACACAAAAATGTCACCTCTCGCTCTCAGTCGTGTCATTTTGGCTTACAGCTACGGTATGAGGAGTGTAAAAGCAACAATGTCATAGTGGATCATCACTCAGTACCAGCGCCTACTGAATAAATTATTGCACCACACATGTTGTTAAGTGTTCCCTGCACCAAAAAGGTTACACAGTAAACCCTCTATGAGATAAAGAAATAGGCAATTTACAAGGAAGGTAATACTGCTTCTCGGCAAATTCCGTACAAAAAACAGTACATGGGGACTGGATGGCCGGACATAAACTGGGAGATGTGCGCAGAAATGCATTATCTGTATTTACTGTATATCTATTCATGTGTTCAGTCTGAAAGGAGTCCATTCAGAACAACCTGTTTTCCCGTCATGTAACTCTGGTTTCCGCAGTCCCACAATGCACAGCGTCTATTACGGCCAGTCCACCCGGGCGAAGAAAGGGTGGGATTTGATATCATCAACGCCTCCCACACCTGCCCCCAGTCTCTCCATTGGATTGTACTGGAGCAACTGCACGAGGACAAGATGGAGATCAAAAGAGACATATTTTTAATCCAACAAGAAAATATAATATATATATATATATGTGTGTGTATGACATTGTCACTGTAGCATTCTTTGCTAGTGAGCCAAAGTATATACACGCATTTACAGTAGAGAAAGCCAAAAGCACTAAAATGACACTTTATGACTACAGTTATTGCATACCAAAGCTACAATATAGCATTAACATGCACATAGGTTAAACTGAGTGTAACTGAAACGCAGTCATTGTCTGCAGGTCCTCTCCTTGATAGCACAACTACACTGGATTCATGGCAGATTGGTGCCACATTAGGCAGAGACAAATCCATGCAAACCATATTAATATACATTTAAAGATTACCAGTGTTGAGGATTTGCAATTAGCTTTATGATATAAGCATGATACAAGCTCTGTTATTAAGGGTATGTGCGCTATGTGTAGGATGTTTGCTTATCTGTTATAATCTGTCAGAAAAATAGATAGATTCCCAAACATTTAAAGTAGTTACGGTGAGGTCTGGTTTTGTATTGTAAGATAAGAGCTCACTGCTGTCATTGTTGGACTTCCCAGAGATCATCTATCTGATAATGTTTTCAGTCTTGGGATGTCTTTTACTTGTATATTCTGTCGATGAAGGTGGAAAACACCCTTTAGTTGTGACTGTTGAGCCACTGTAGCAGGTCATGCTAACCCAGTTCTTCTACTGTATTCATTTCAAACAAACCACTATTGTTGCTCACGGAAATTACTTATTGTGCATCTTTTCCGCTGGGAAACGCCTGCCAAAAACTGTGTATGTTTAATATCACATATACACCTTTTTATAAACTCTGTCCTGAGTTTAATTGCTATTGTATTTACAAACCAGTGCGAGATAGTTGTTACTTTGATTTATAAAAAAAATACAACAGATTATTACTTTAATATCGTCATGGCTAATGCAATGAGGGAGTGGTTCCCACCAAACCCCATTTACAAAAAGCAGAGAATTGCATTTGAGAAGACAGAAATGTTCATGTTTTTTCAGCGTGCACTTTGAAGTGCATGTGACTTTTGCATGAAGTACAGAATTACAAACAAATCATCTCAATGTGGGGAAATATATTTGAGTGGGCCACTCTGTTAAATTCTGTACATGAAATCAAAATATCAACATACAAGTTACCAGCAGCACACTAGACTCTCACCTTCTCCAGCAGAGATCTGGCCTCCTCTGAAACAGACTCGGGGATGTTGAGAGCGGTGTGGCGACCAATTCCAGCTGGATGGCACCGCAGCAGAGACTGAACAGAGGGAAGGAGGCGTGGAAAGAATAGATAACTATCAATCAAAACAAAGAAAAACCCGACGGACGGAGAGCTGAAGGGACAGATACACTGACACCCGCACAGCCTAGGTCAATGTGAGAACACCAGGACTGGACAAATAGGAGGAGACCAAAGAGCCAAAGCACCTGAAACAACACTGATCACACTAACTACAACAAGGTAGTGATTCTACTACTGTTGCTCTTTCTTGGAAGTTCTGTGTGTGTCACAGAAAGAATGACATGTTTATACATTACACATCATTTATACAGAGCAACTTTACTGGAAGGGCAAAAAAGTTAAGCAGCAGTAAATATAAATCATTTTGATTTGTTTTTAGAGTCAAATCTGACCGGTCAAACTGTCAATTAGAAGGAATTGTTGTGCTCAGAGAAAAATGAAATAAAATAAAAATAATCTGGAAAAAGTGAGAGAAAGGGTGCAAAAGACCTACAAGTGCTTTTATAACCACAGCACGTAGCCGTATTGTTAAAATAATTGTCAATAATGATCGTAATCACTGCATGTTGCAACAGCACATCTTTCAGTGCATGTACACCTACAAACAGAACATGTGCAGTAAGAGAAAGCTGTAAGGCTGTTTGTGTTGGGGGTGGGGGGGGGGCTGTGTGTTTTCTCCATCAGTTAGGCCGGTTGTCTCTCTCTCTCTCTCTCTCTCTCTCTCTCTCTCTCCCTCTCTCTCTCCCTCTCCCGATAACGTGCTGCAGGAGTTCTGGCTGGGTTCCTAGCCGCAGTCAAGACTGCTCCAGGCAAGATCTTATCCTGCAAGGATCAAGAGACACTATGTGCTCCTGTGTGTGTGTGTATCCTTGCCAGGTCTGTACCCAGACATAATCATCAAAGGAGACATCTGTGTGACTGACTTTTTTTTCCAGGTAAGTGGGTGTGTATTGTTCAACATAATAGCACTAACCTAACACCCCGACTAATGCTGGGCCATTGATGGGAAACAGTGATAGCTGATATGAAAATATGCCCACTGGCAATCAGTTAGATTTTATTCAAATTTAATAGACAATAAAAAAAATTTAAGGGACGCTCCGCACCTGCACTGGGTGTCATGTGGGTGCTACTGTGTGTGTATTTGTCCTTCAAGAGAGCAGCAAGTTATAATTAGTATGTGTGCATGTATAGCATATCTGTTGTCTTCCAAAACAAAAAGGCTCTTCCCATCCTCCCTAGCCTGTCTTAAAAGATCGTCCCTCAGACAGCCCTGATCCTGGACCAACCGAGCTCCAGCACCTTGAGAGCCGCCCTGGTCTTCACCTTTCACGCTGACCTCGGATCGGCGCGCTCAAAGCCCAGTGCTGCTCCAGGAGCCAGCAAAGAGGCCCAGGGAGAGCTGACCCCCTGGCCCAGCAGATGGAGCTCAGGCTGGGGGAGAAAGTCACACCGACACCCCTGGCACTCCCCGAGAACCAGAATAAGAGACGGCAGCCAAGACGCACCTCACACATATACACACACACACAGCAAAACAACTAACGCCACCTACTCAAACACATACAGACACGCACGCAGAATCCCACACAACCTGGCACGACCATAAAGAGTGTGAGAGACACCTACAGACATCCCACAACACCTTAGCAACAAAGATAACATTTTTTTGTACTTTTTGACTCACCATGCCTGTCAGGAGCTCAAACAGGATGGTACCCAAACTCCACCAATCGCACGCTGTCGTCTCCTCACTGATACCTCCCACCTCTGAAACGAGAGCAAAACAGAGGAAAAGACATTTACTTAATCAATAAATGAACAAGCAGAGAAATATCTTACGTGTTGGGCGAAGAATAATCAACTGTGAAATCAAATGTGTGGAATTAATTTTTGTTTTTTTTACTGATCTTAAGCCTAGAAGCTAAATGCATAAGACCCATTACATGATTACATCATATAAAGTATCTTGGTTTTAAACCCTTTAACATTAAACACAGTTTCAGACTGACATCTTGGATTACTTAATGTTTCATTGAATTGACACAATCAATTCAAAATGAGCACAAAAACATGGACACAGTCACACACAGACCTTTTATGAGACACAAACAAGTGTGTGTCTCATAAAAGGGTGATTTGCATAATAAAAAAGCAGTTAAATTGAGGAAACCGTCTGCTGCAACTTCACACCATCTGCATGACCTGACCTCAAACACAAACACACACTCACACACACACACACACACACACACACACACACCAAGAAATGTAAAGCAGGAACAACTGAGAACAAATAGTATAACATTTTTGTTCAGTTTTCTTCACTTGCACACTATTCATTTTTTTAGCTCCTGAAAATAATCTACACCACAGATTATTGATTAATCTGTTTATTATTTTCATTGTTTGGTCTGTCAAATGTCAAGAAATACTGGCAAATTAGTAAATTTCTTAAAGCCCAAAGTAGTTTGTCAAAACAGCAAAGACAAGCAGCAATTTATTTTTAGTCTGAAAGACCTTTAAACCCTTAACTGATCAGAAAATGTATTAATTGTTTCAGTCTTACAACAGACACTGACACCAAACTACACACAAATAAAGTCTAAAAAGCCCTCAAGGTGAACAATTCATCCAAAGTCTGTCCACTTTCGATCTAGCTCCACATTCTGCCAGATCCTGATCCACAACCAGTCTGAGATCCAGTTGGATGCAGGGCTGTTGGGACTCACAGTGTGTGTTTAAGTAAGACACAGAAATCAAGAGTGATGCTCATTTGCTAAAGTCAAAAGTGTATTTGTGAGAGAGAGTGTGTGTGTGCGTGTGTGTTAGCTCCACTGGGTACCAGATGGTCTCTTGTGCCGCTCAGCTTCCCTCTGCTCTCTCCAGAGGGCCGGGACCCAGGGTCACTGCTGTGTGTGCCCAGAGACCAGGCTCCTCAGCTGGGGGAGCATAAGAGACAAAGACCCCTCATCTCCTGGAGGCTGCCGGGAACTCCAGGGGCCTGTGCGGCTCTCTTGCAGCAGAGGTTAGAGAGGGCTATGATACGACTTGCACGTTTCGTATACACACGCACACACACAGCCAACTGAGCAACCAGTCTTCAGGGCTCCCCAGGACTACTGTTTTGACAGCCAAGGAGAGAAGATCGTCATTGAACGGACTAGTGATACCTGCGTAGTTATGAGCTGGAGGGGAAATACTGGACACACACACCCGCACACGTCTCAGAGCAAGGTCGATGTCATCACAATGGATTAATGTCTAAGGAGCTGCAGGGAGAGTACAGTGGAGCTGGCTACACTTACCGCTCTGTCAGAGCGAGGCAGGGAGAAAGGGAGATAGAGAGAAAGAGGATGGGAAGGGAGAATAAACTGCATCCACAGGCCATGGGTCATTCAAACCCCACTGTTACACTGTGTGATGTGCCGATTTTTTTATCTGACCATACCTCCAATAACCAGTTTCTTGAACAGCACATGAAAAAACTTCATGTCACAAGAATACGAAGAAAACAAGGATACTGAGAAGTTCAGATACAACAATACAGTGTGTTAACCTTGTGGCCTCTTCTTCTTCCCTTTCCCCTTAACAATGAAGTTCCCTCCTGCTTTGTATCTTAATCACAATCTCCTCTCTCCTGGGGGCCATAAGGAACTTTTCTCTTCTCCTCTTAGACCGACTTCCCTAAAAACTTAACAGACATTCATTGTTGAAAGAGGAAGTAAAGTGTACGCAGGTAGGAAGTAAGGAGGGATTGGTGTGTGATGTTCCAAGACTGTGTATGTGTGTCTTATGACTTGGGGAGTTCTCAGTTGAAATGATGCCAACTGTTGCTAAAACCAAATAAGTCATATATTTATAAACAAACCTAAAGCACAAACAAGCTCATCTTTACTATGGGTACAGGGGAGAAATATTAAAATCATAAAGCAGAAGTACTTTCAGGGCATAATTTCTTAATTGACAAGCCTTTTAAAACAATGAGATGACAGCTCTTTGTCAAAAGGGGAACCAAACTTTATCTTTCATTAGATCATGCAGTGGCTGAGCAGGCACAAGGAAAAATAAAAAAAAACAAAACAAACAATGAAAGCAAACAGCGAGTTTGATGATGGAGTCCTCAGTAACTGACTTGTTACCTCAGAGGGGAAGAATATTTAATTTCCCTTTTCTTGGACACTGAAGACAATTGGTTTTGGTCTGGCTTCCCTCTAAACAGAACAATAAACAATTGCCATTTCTGCTCAAATTAAGTTGCGTCACACTGTCACTCAACAGCTTGTTTTTTTTTCCCTTATTAGAGAACAAAACATAAGCCACCAGATGTTTATGTATAATGATAAAATGGTGAGAAAGTAAATAAGCAGAAGTGCAGAATAAATAGATTCATACACTGCCACAGTATTTTCCAAGTCCACTCCCGTGTTATTTGGGTGTGAATGCGTGCGTTTTCAAAACATGTTTCCCTCCTTCTTACACACACACACACCAACACACACACGCACACGCACACATACGGTCACAGCAGGCCCCCTGCTAGCTTTCTGGCAAACAGTCATAAATCTGTCATCAGGAATGAAGCCATCGCTAGAGCTGACCCTGTCTGGATAAACAGCAATACATAACAAGGGCAGCAGAGACACACACTCACTAACCTCTGCGTTAATGTGTGTGTGTGTGTGTGTGTGTGTGTGTGTGTGTGTGTGTGTTCACAAGCACATACATCTATAGATACATGCATGTATCAAATGTAGCGTTTGCAGTAAATACAAGCAAGCAAAATAGATGACAGTCATTGCTTTGTGATATGTGCATACCTGGATTTACAACAATAACAAAGAATTATTGACATAAGGGACACACAAGAAAAAGAGAAAAAGTTTCCAGTGGTTGAGTAGGAAAGTCAACGGATGTGGAAGTGATACTATCGCTCAACAACAGCATAACACACCCCCTGCTGGCCGCTAATATGTATTACAACCATTGATCCACATGGGATCAACAGTCGTTTAACTAACAAGACCTTTCATACCTGGGCTGAGGTCAGTGCAGTTCCTGGCTTTTATCCCCAACAGTTAACATTTTTTACCGGGCATCTTTGGCTGTAAAATCTTTTTCATTATTTGTTGGAGCTGAATGAAAACACCGCCCAAATGTGATACAAAGAGCACCAACCTAATTATTTTTATTGTGCTACTGATAACGTGCTACTTTTTGCCAGGTTTGTGATTTTATTGCCTGCTCCAGCTCCTCACAAAAAGTGTCTAACATTTTCAGTCTTTAAAACCAAACTACATCTACATTTTACAGAGCTGAAAGCACAGCTTAATTTATGGATGTATTCAATTACATTTTTCAAGTCAATGTTAATCAACCATTTGTCAAATAAAGAAACCAAGAGTAGCTTGCAGTTTTTCAAGTCAGAATATGTGTTTAATTTTCCCAGTTTCATGTTATTTTAAAGTGAATACCTTACAGTTTTTTGACTGCTGGTCAGGCAAAATATTACTTTTGTGGACAGCAGTAAAAAAAAAAACTGTAATTTATTTGATGATGAAAATAACCATTGGTCGCAGCCCTAAACTTTATTTGAATGATTCAAAACTGGCACAACATTGCTGTAATAAATAACTGTAAGTTAAGTACATTTTGACAAAATCTACCTTAAAAAAAAAGTGAATACCTAATTTATTTCAAATAAGATTGTTTAGCATATTATGTGTTACCTTTCAGACCTACCATCCACACTCTTAGACTCATATTAACAAGAAAATTACATTATTACATAATGACTTAAGTGGCAAACATGTCTCGGTTTAGCACTTAGAGTTTAAGCTACGTTATTCATAATGTAGCTTAAACTCCTGCTGCTCAGCTCATGCTGAGCTCCACTCCTGTGTCTTTAGGTCATCTCCTGCTGGCCACTATATGCCTCTATGTGCTTCTATTTCCATTAGTAGGCTTTTAAACAAGCTGTTGCTAAGGGAATAAAAATGCACACTTTGGATATTAGATAGAGCATTTGTTGCTTTCAGATTTATTACAACAGTGGCATACTGTATGTTCTAGTCACAAGGAGGATTTAAATCTGAAGTGACCTTCCTGGCTTGAGAGAGAGGATGAATATGAGTGATAATATAAGTGCGTGGGAGAGTGAATGGGTGTGAGGGTCATTGTGTACGTCTCAGAGTGCGTCCAGTGTTTTTCAGGTAACAGTTATCTATGCTGCATATTTAAGAAAGATGTAATTAAACACATAACACATAATCTACCCAACAGCCCATGTGCCAAGTGTCAAACCATGTGCTTAAAGCAGCAGCACCATATTAAAAAACATATCCGCCTATAGATTTCAAATGCATGTGCATGCATACACACACACAATCAATCACCCCCGCACACACAGAAGTGCTAAGTAGGGACAAGGTGCTGTAGTCTAGCAGCAGTTTGTTTTAGGCAGCTTGTAAACAGCATGCCAGAGCTGCCACAAACCTGCTGGGGGCAACACATGGGCTATCGCACTACTGGCTCACTGTTGCACAACAGCACACTCTACAGGACAATGAGAGAACTACAACAAGATCCAGCTTGTCAAAACAGTGACAGCAAGAATAAAAAAATAGATAGAAGATATTTCTAATTTATTCCCAAGATATGTACCACTTTAAGTGTAAATTATAAAGTAAAGTAA